TATAACCAGCCCTCTTCAATAATTTAACACTGGATTGTAAACCGGTAGATACTAAATCTAGGCAACACACAGTTGAGGATAAATTAGTTATCTAAACCGAAATTACTTGTATGTTGAAAGATGGAATAATTGAACTCAGCCATTTGCTGTGGAGAGCCCAAGCCTTCATAGACTCCTCTGAGAACAGAATAAGTGAATAATAATCAACTATTCGCAAACAATAAACCAGTTTATCTTGCTGGATGCCTACCCTCTGCCAAGAATATATGATATGATAGAGAAAATATCCAAAAACTTTCTATTTAGTGCTCTAGACCTTAAAAGTGTGTACCATCAGTCAGCCATAAGGTTCAGTGATAAACCCTATATGGCCATCAAGGCCAGCAGCAAACTGTATTGATTTCACAGAATACCGTTTGGTGAGACTAACAGGATAGCTAGTTCTTAACAAGTGATAAACCAGATATGAAGAGAACATGCAAGGCACCTATGGTTACATCAATAATATAACTAATTGTGGATAAGATAGTGTGGAATATGACAAAAATATTAAATTATTCATGGCAGCTGTTAAAAAGCACAAATTTACACTTAACGAAACAAATATTATTTTAGATGTAAAAATATAAAATTACTTGGATATATAATAAGTAAAAACAACATAAAACCCCATTGAGAACTTCTGAATCCATTACTCAGCTTACTGGTCCCAAAAGATTTATCCACTCTGCACCATGCATTAGGAATGTTTGCACACTATGCGCATTGGATTTCATCTTTTTCAGACAAAATCCACCCTCTAACAACAGTATCAAACTTCCTGTTATCTCCCATAGCAGAGAAAGCATTTAATGAGTTAAAAAAGGTTATAGTAAAAGTAGCCATTACTATGCCCAATCATTCACTACATCTGGTAGTAGAGAGAGATGCCTCCAAACGTGCGATAGCCACCTCTTTAAGTCTGGGAGGCTCATAGTCTTTTTTTCCAGAACCTTGTCTAAATTGGAATGTAGGCATTCTGCTATAGAGAATGAAGCATATGCTATTGTTGAATCACTGAGAAAATGGAGGCATTATTTGATTGGGTGATATTTTAAACTAATTACAGTCCAAAAATCAGTCTTGTTCATGTTCAACCTGAAAACAAAAGCAAAATTAAAAATAAGAAGATAGCCAGGTGGAGAATGAAACTTTTGTGTTACTTGTTCGAGGTAATGTACTGTCCCAATAAAGAAAATGCAATATGTGGCTTGGCAGCTTGCAAAGACGAGTTAAAGAAACTACATAGATAGTTGTACCATCCAGGTGTTACACATTTGGTCCACATGACGAAAATCAAAAAACCTTCCCTATTCAGTAGAGGATATGAAAGAAATCACCAAATTGTGTAAGACTTGTGTGGAAAATAAACCTAGGTTTTACTGTCCTAACACCAGTAAGGTCATAAAAGTCACACAACCTTATGAAAGAATTGCATTGGATTTTAAAAGACCACTTCTGTCAAAAACTCCTAACAAATATATGCTGACAATAACTGACGAATATTTGTGGTTTCCTTTTGCAATACCTCACACTGATGTATCTTATACAAAAGTCATACAAGCACTTTGCTCGGTTTTTGCTGTCATCATGCTACCCGCATATATTCATTCAGACAGAGGGGCTTCATTCATGCCTGAACAGTGATTTCTACAAGAGCAAGGTGTAGCTGTAAGTAGAACAACCCTATATAACCCTCAAGGTAATAATCAGTGTGAGAGGTATAACAGAATAATTTGGAAATCTGTTCAACTAGCAACTGTTGATAAGGTGGTAGTTTTAGAGAATTGGGAACAACTGTTCCTAGAGCCCATGCATGCAATTAGAACACTGCTATGCTCCACCATTATTGCAACACCCAATGAACGATTCCTCTCATTTCCAAGAAGAAATTCGACTGGAGTTTCCCTACCATCTTGGCTCTCAGGAGTGATATTACTAAAAAGACACATGCAACTGTATAAGTATGAACCACTGGTGGATCAAGTGGAACTTCTAGATGTCAACCCCCAGTATGAGCAAGTCCATTACCCCAATGGATGAGAAGACAGTCTCACTAAGGGTCCTGTCTCAAGCAGGGGATGAATTGGGACCCATGAGCCAAGCAAGGACTGTCCTCGACTTCAACTGACTATGAAGAAACAGAAACATGGTCTCCTTTTGAAGATTATTAGGAACCCTTGAGTTCTGGTTCCTCAAATGGTAACGAATAGCTTTCACAGAAGAGCTCACCTACCTACTGATACTTCAGAGGATGAGCAAGTCACTTGCAGAAGATTATGAAAAATGCTGCAGGATTAAATCTAGCTCTAGTGAAAAAGAGGAAGAACCTCACCATGCTCTTGGCAATCTACCACGGCCTTGCAGACAGCAAAGAATGCCTGCTTAATTCAGGGACATCCTCCCTCTGTAAGAATAAGGCAGGGGAGAATATGGTATGATCCATCTCCCCGATTAATGGAATGTCCTGAACACATATATTCATGAGAAGTCTGCTAATAGGCAGAATATATTAAAGCTTTGAAGGAGGCAGGTGGTCCACTGGCTGGCCCTCCTTGTCAACCTCTCCACCTCTAGGCTATGTTGAAGTTTGAGGAGGTAGACAGCTACCTGACCCCAGAGTCTATGGGAATTTTTTGCCCGAGCTGAGAAAGACTCAAGTTAAGCTAGCCTTGTGCTACATACAACTCTGTGGGGTGCTCAGGTAAATAGTGAGTATATTAAAGCTTACTGATAAGTAATACATATTGTCTAGAACAATTCTACGACAATTAATAGCATGTAATTGAAACATGGTGAATTTGTAACCAAGAATAACTTTGTTTTGCCTGAGACTTTTTTTTATTTAATCAGAAAATTTAAAGACTGAGATCTCTTGTCAAATTCTATTTTAAAAACTACAATTCTAGTTATATCCTTCCCAATCACTGTTCTGCTATCAATTTACACAAGATTGTCAGGTAGGTTACTCAGTGTTTTCTGCTACCCATCTTAACTTCATTATATCCTGTGAGTGTCAAGTTCTCCAATTCATCTTTCCTCATTATGTATCCAAGTATTTTCAACAGCCTCTTTCTAGTTCTAAGTATAAGTATCTTTTTGTTTCCATTTTCATGAAAACTTCCTCATTGTCCACATGTTCCTTTCATGGTATTCTTAACATCCTAAAATACAGTCACTTTTCTGTTGCCTTTTAGGAGGATATCATATAGCAATTCAATACTTTTGTTTTTAATAATATTTTCCTGTTTCTTAATACTTTATTTAATTCTTGGAAGGTGTCTCATTATTCCAGTGCATCTTCAGATTTTTGTGTGGTATTTTCCAGTATCTGTGGAAGCACTTCCCAGATAGTTAAATTTCTGTACTTGATTGATTTTGATGTCTAACAATTTGTCACTTGCATCTTAATCTGTCCCTCATATTTTTCTTGCAAATAAAAGATTAATAAATTTTTATCCCTTTTTTTTTACTGCCTTGTCTCAAAGATCCTCCAGTTTTCTTCCTGTGTCTGCCATAAACACTGTGTTATCTACATATCTTATGTTGTTAAGATTGTGCCCCCTGATAATAAATCCAGGTAGAACTTTCAGTTCTAGTTCATTCTCTAAATCCTCTAAAAAGACACATCCTTGCAGTGATGTGCAAAGGTTTGATGATGCCTGAGGCCAACTCCTTGATTTTATGCCTATAAGACTCAAGTAGGTGGTGGGGACTATAGGGCCTAGTACTGAGAAATGTGAGAAACAAAGACATTTTAAATATGTAAAAATAGTTGAAACACTTTATTCAAATTAAATATAAACAATTTTTATTTCACTCTTTGATTTGATGCTTTCCTGATATGGATGTCAGGGGCCATTGCACTCTATGCACCCCTCACTTCTGCATGATACTGTATCCTTGTTTTATGCCTCTTTCAATTTTTGTGTACTTGCTCAATTCATTTTCTATCTGTATGTAGGTGGATTGTTCATAGTAAATACTCTGGATTATTCAAATATATTTCTCAGATAAATCAATTTTCCTTAGCAGTTCCAACAGACCTTTGTATTGTACCTTATCAAATGCTTTCGTTTAGTCTATGAAACATAAATATACATCATTATTCACATGTGGACTAGTGTCTTTATTTTTGTTGTGATAACACAAAAGATGAAAGCAATGGTCTGCATGTAAATAACTAACTCCTCACCCCAGAAATTCAGACAGAAAATAGATATATGTCCTCTTGAATTTGCATTGCTTACTCTGATAGCATTTTGATCATAAAGATCCAATTTCTTGTTTCAGTGCTAAAATAGATCAATTTCAATCTGAACTCATAAAGCTATAGCTTATAAAGCTATCAGTCAAAATCGCATTGGCATCTACAGATGTTCCTCACATTTTTAAGCAAGTTTTAAACTTGCGTTTTTTCAATATAATAGTTTAAACCAAAATGACATTTGTTGTTTATATAAATAAAAAAATATAAATTTCATATTTTTTCAGGAATAAATATAAGATTAATATTTTTTATTTCTGTAGTCATTATTGGTTAACTTTAAATATGATCTAGATTTAATTTTATTTTTATGAATGTTAATAAATGATACTATTACATTTATCATTCATTTTAAGTTGTAAGTTTTGAAAATTGTTCATAAAATGATTATGCATTCCCTTATTTCTAATTTGTGGTGTAAATGCATGAGTGGGCAAACTTTAACAAGGAATAAAGATAACAAAAGCCAATTCTATTCTGGCATTGACAAACTATTCTGCAAGTTTATAATAACAAATGACCATTCTGTTGGCATTTTGGCAAGACTCTCAGATCAGATTTCACTCCCCACCTCTAACATGACAAAACTAGATTTGATTTCGGTTGCACTCATTCTATAAGCTGGTTATTTTGGTTCCTCAAAGTACACTTTGCAGCACGGAGTTCATGTCAGATTTCATTTTCATTTTTCCAGCCAGCATGGCGTCACTTGGATGAGCAAAGCAATGCAAATTCAATGATATTCTACAGGGAATCTGATGTAATAAATGAAAATGGAAGGAACGGCACACTCTTAGGACAAAGGTATGGTAAATTCAAAAGTTTGTTAAATTCTTTTCAGCTAGAATATAAGTTATGCATTGCCATGAGCTGATAAATCAACTAGTTAAAAAATATAATCATAATTGAATATTTGCATATAGATATAAATGGGCGTGTCTCTATGAGTACATGTCTATATCTGTATATGTTTCTATGTGAATATGCATTAAAATAATGTCTCTCTACATATATATATGGGATTGATGACTCAGTATTGCTGCTATTATAATTCACATATAATACATTCACACAATCAAAACATGAAAATAAACTACACCAAAAATCAATCCCCTTGAAAATGGCTAAGGAAGTAGCAGAAAGCTTTTGTAATCGCTCACTTCTTCCAAAGGGAAAGATGTAAGAATGCCAGAAAAAATAAGTAAGAAAATTAAAAAAAAATTCCTTGTCTGTCATATTTAATGAAAGGTGTTTAAAAGAAAGGTTGCTACCCAAATATACATTAATCATAGCTCTCTCTTACTCTCTCTAAAATATATATATATATATATATATATATATATATATATATATTTTGTTTTAACAATGTTCACCCAATACAAGGCCCAAAGGCCACTCAAGGTAGAGGGTTACTGTGTGGAGTTGTATTGGTGTAAGAAAGGGCAAGATTACAAGAAAGATTGCTAACTCTACACTTGAAGAGGTGAAGATTTAATTAATGAATAAAATTTCAGAGTTCAGGTACAGACATTAGTTGAAGTAGACTTTAGAAAGGACCTGAAACCCAATCCTAAATGGGAAACAAGGGATGAACCTTTACTCCTGTTCAAAAGACTGGGATGTGCATGAACCAGATGATAGTCAAACCTATTTCTATTGGTAGAGGAAAAATATAATTGATGAATAAAATTTCAGATTTTAGGTGGAGTCGGAAGTACAGTGTTGAAGGAACTGGCAATGTAATTTTAAACAGGAAAAAAAGTTAAAAATATCAGGGAGGTGTGTGTGTGTGTGTGTGTGTGTATATATATATATATATATATATATATATATATATATATATATGTCTGTATGTATGTTAAGTATTATATTAATATGACATACCAAGACAAAGTACTCAGTACTAAAATGTTAGTGTATTATATCTCATATACTAAACCCAGGTTTTCATCTGATTGTCCATAAATGTCAGTTGTGTACATGCTATTCCATGCTGTCATCATGTGATTATAATTTTAATGACATGAAAAATCACAGCAACAAAAGTTGTTCATTTCTTTTTTCTAAAACATCTGGTTTATCAAATTTATAAAAATTTATTAGATAATTTGCTCTTGATTTTTATTAAGTTGTCTATTTTAAAACACTTAGTGATCTTCCTCATAGTTTTCAGATACTTTACTTAAAGCATCGTTAGATACAAAAGATGTAGCATTTTTTAATAGGTGGCATTTGAAAACATGATTTTATCTTGACTGACCATGACTGCCAGTTTCATATGTACTATTGAACACATTCATCATGTGGCTGGCTGCATGATGACTGTATACAAAAGTGTATACTAAACTGGCAGTCATTGTCAGTCAGATGTTCACCTGATTTATTGTATAAAATATGTATTTATATGATTAATTAGTTTTCTTTCTTACCTTCTGCTACTTCAAGATTCATAAGATGTTAATCCTCAGGCAGTGGATAAGGATACATGTGATACTATTATTATATAAAAAAGGTGGTACTTACCTATAAAATATTGGAGGGAATATCTCCTATACTTCTACATATTTATAGGCTTACTGCCATATCTGATTGCAACACCTGTTCTTGAAAAATCACCAAAGTTAAGCAATATCAAGCCTGGTAAGTACCTAGATGGGTGATTGCTTGGGGATACCAGGTGCTGTTAACTTGAATTTGTGGGTGGTGTAATGGAATTAGAAATTTGAGAGTTCTAATTCCAGTCATGTTTATAATATTCATTGGCTTGCAAATAACCTTGGGAAAGTTATAAATCAAACTCTTTTCTCCCTAGTTATGTATTAATTAGTAGGACTTGTATCAGTAAATCATTATTATCTCTAAAAAATTCTTACAATCTAAAAATATTTCCTAGCTTTAAATAACATGCAAAAGGTTGATAAGCCATAAAAAAGTCAGTAAATCTATATATTTATAGGGAGGAGCAGTAAGCCCATAACTTTAAATGATATTATTAGCATAGTTTTGATTTTAAAATTTCACTGTCTTTCATTGACAGATGAGTGAAAACTTTGAGAAATTCTCTCCTCTCAGTACCATCACATATCCAAAGAGTGTCAACAAAAAGATGTTACACATACAGGTGGTTGTGACATCTGTGTCTGTGTGTATTACAGGGGATAAATACTGCTGCCACAGTATCAGGTTTTCATTAGGCAGTAAATACAATCTGTTCTTACTAAGTCAATCTATGGCATTTATTTGAAAAAAAAAATAGACCAATATAAATGAGAGATAATTAAAATGAAGGATTTTATAGCATGCGTGAAAATTCATTCAATAAATTTTATAAGAATGGTGTCAGTAGAATAAAAATCTTCTTCTTCATATAGGATTAGGGAACCTTATGGATTTATGATAGATTTATGGAATAATTGCAAAGAAAATTACAAAAACATTTTATACAATAAATTCTTCTTTTCTTCCTCATACAGAACTGATTCCTTTCTTCAAGGTGAAATTTGAAGAAAAGTGTAATTCCCAATTGGATTCTATACAGATAATTGAGTATATGTTAGTGTTTGTTGATCAAATTAAAACATAAGGAGACATAAAAATATAACAATCTATGAGTCTTTAAGTGTATATATATGTGTGTGTGTGTTTTGGTGCACGTGTGTGTGTGTATGAGTGTTTGTATGTATATATATATATATATATATATATATATATATAATTATTTATTTAAAAATATGATTCCAAATTGCGACATAAGAAGTCCCATGTTTCAAAACAAGAGCCGAAAACTTCAATATAATTATTTAAATCATTTAAATTATTTAAATTAAATTGAGTTAAAATAAGCTCTGTTCCATCTTCAAGCGAAATTTTTTTTGGAATAACGTGTTTCTGAAATTTACGTGTTTTAAAAATTGAAATCAAAATTTCCATGGTAACAGCTAGGGCGAATTGTTTAAGTTGGGTAGGCAGGTGTTGGGTGTTAATAATAAGTATCAGTATAGAGTTAATTTCGTAGATGTCAAGTTCGTGAAAGGTGGGGGTGTCTAAATTTGAAACGGAAGATGTATTAACCCTCGTCTAGTTTGTATGTCTATGGAGATTTATTTATTTTTTTATTTTATTTTTTTATGAAAGGGATTTGTGCATATAAAAAAAACCAAAAAACAAAAAAAAAACCAAAACTGTCGTAACGTTTGTTTTTTGACGACTTCATAAAGGGTTATCTTTTTTTAGGGTATTTAAACTATTTATTTCGGCTATGGATTATGAAGGGTGTTATATTGTATGCATGTTTTTAAACCATGAATCTGATGAGTGGGCTATGGATTAAACAAGTTATTATATTGTATGCTAGTTTTTAGCTAATAGTTCAAACCAAAAATCTGATGATGCCTACAAAAAACCGTTTATAAAACTTCAACCAGTAGAGAAAGTAATTTAAGAGAAGGAAAAGCTTTTAATTATCATTATAAAAAATCATCATTCTTTCAAAACTATCCAATATATTTCTTTTAGGACAGTCCTCATAATTATCTGAGGGAACTATGGAAAATGAATCACTCCAGTGGCATAATGTGTGCTTTCTGGGGCAGAATATTTGTCTGAATATTAATATCGCATTAAAGGTGTCATATATGAAAAGTACTAAAGATAAGTTCAATCATTTTCAATATTCAATTGTAATATTAGATTGGTAGCTTTGAGGTTTGAAATTCTATTCTTATATATGATTGGTGGACTTTTCATCATTGAGATCAAGCAACATTGTTTTTGAAATAAAAATGAAAAGCTATTTGGCTATAGAGGAAACATTATAAAAATTTCTGACTGTGCCCAATAATATTTCTATCAAACAATTTCTTTTATTAAAATATCTATTGGGGTACAGTATATAAATTAACAGGCATCATTGTCTTTGAAGCCTGAGGATCTTAGCAAAGATCATCCTACAAGCACTACAGAATCACAAATAAAGAGCTGTACCAAATAATAGAAACCACATCACTTGAGGACTACCAACAGTAGCAATATCTTAAATGGATAGCACATGTAACTCAAAGAAAAAAATAATGATATAATTAAGTTGTTGACATTCCACACTATTTCAAATAAATGGTTAGGAATAAAACCTCCATCAATACTGGAAAGAGCAATAACAGCTACTGGATTTGAGAGATCTGTTTTCCTAAGAAATTGTTTTAATAGAAAGATTTTATAAATTTCAACCAAAAGTAGTGCTGGCTGCTTGATCAATGAATGCTGAATGTTTCCTTGTAGTGAAACAGTTAACATGACTATTAGTTTAGAATAGTTTTCATAGATATAACCATTGGCATTCAGTGAATTTAAAAAAAAATAATGATATAATAAATATATCATCTGTAAGTGATTTCCAAAGGTGGAGGAACAACAAATATATTTTCACTTTCAACTGGAAACTGTATGATTATACAGTTCAGTAAAGAAGGAAAGAAACTCATCAGATTGAGCTTAGCCACCAGAAATGTGTCCATGCAAAGAGACAAGAAATTAGAAATAAAATGTACAATGATATTGTATGTCCAAATGAGCTCAAGAATAGCAGTATGATAACTTCATTACATAGGTTATTATTATGGCATAATAGTCAGAAAAGAAGGTTAAGTTTAATCAAAGAATAGACCATGCAATTATGATGTTTTGACAAATACATCTTTTCAGATAAATCTTTGTTTGCTTTAATTTTCAATTGTGGGTTTTGAGATTACCTAGAGAATAATTTATTTGACCTAATTACAACCCACTATTAACTTCAATAGATTTTA